ACAACTCCCCTCTCTCCCTTTCCCTTCCTCTAGCCCCTGGTATTTGGCAGAGTTCTGAGAAAGAGGTCAAAGACTCAGGGAAGTGGGAATATTAGAATGGGATTTATATGAGGCTAGAGAACACACCAGCTCACCGAATTCTCCAGGGAGGCCCAGAGGGCATCCCCTCCACTAATATGATAAGGAATGCACTGGCCAGGGGGTGCCTTGGAGGAGGGGTACCCCACTAGGAGACACAGTAAGGGTTCCACTAAACTATCATCTGATTTTATTTTGGGCTTCTCATGCTGGTGGACCAAGAAGCCAACAATGGAGTCAAAGTGCTGGTGGGAACAATCAACTCTGATTAGCATAAAGAAGTAGGGATGCTGCTACATAATGGGGACAAGGACCAATACATCTGGAACTCGAGTTACAGGGATATCTCTTGGAGCTTCCATGCCCAGGAATGAAATTTAACACGCAATTGTGGCAACTAAAGACTCAGACCCTTCAGCTTTGAATTACTCCACTAGCAACCACGCTAGACCAGCTAACATGCAGTCTAGGTGAGGAAAATCTAGAATAAAGTGGTAGAAGAGTGAGATGATGGATATCACTTATGGTCTTGGGACCAGTTGCAGCAGTGGAAGCTGTAGCTTGATCCACTGATCTCCATGCATTTAAATGTTGGAGAGATCGCAGCCAGCTCTGACCCTGAACACACAGTGAGAGAGTGGAGTTATAGTGGAGCATGAGTGGATCTGAGCACTGCAAGGGGTGGACTGTATGAGGCACTTCTTGTGCCTTGTGTCACAATCCCTCTGCCCATCTCTGATTCCACAGGTGGACTCAGATTCACCTTGTGCCCACCACGGCCTCTTGCCTTGGGTGTGAGCTGCTCATCCTTTTGCTTTCTGCCTGACAGAAGCTTGATGCAACAGGAGTCTGCTCTGCCCATGTACCCAGAGGTGCAGAGTTAACACCCCAGGGGCAATCCTCAACCAGTGGGGGACAGAGGTAACTGGATAAACATCTCTTCCTCTTATCCTTCAGGTGGATGCTTCTGGGAGACAATCTGTGCACTTTTCAAGAATCCTGGTAAACTCAAGCTGCTGTGGCCCACAGCAATGACATTGATAACAAATGTTTATATTGGCTTTTTCTCTGTTCCTGTCTCATTGTCCCCACTCTCTCATGCCGGCTTCTTGGATCATCTCTCAGAAAACCCATGTGCACTCAAGTCCTTCTCTCAGGCTCTGCTTTTAAGAGAACCCATGCTAAAACATCTTCTCAATTTGTTCCCCTTGCTACGTAGCTGCAGACTGATCCTTTTATAACATGTCTGATCATGTCTCTTCTCAGCTGAAAACCCTTGGGTGACTCCCATTTCCCCTAAAGGAAAAGCCAAAGTCCTCACAATGGCTGAGAAGGCCTGATGGAGTCTGCCCTTCCTGCTGTTCCCTCGCTGGTGCCATCTGTTAATTTCTGCCACAGCCGTGTTGTTCTTCAAAGACACCCAGCACACTCCTGACTCGGGGCCTTCACGCCGGCTATTCCTACTGCCTGGAATGCTCTTCTTCCAGATATTTCCAAGCATGCTTCCTCACTTCCCTCAGTACTCTTCATAAAACACTTCTCAGAGAGGACTTCCTTAATGATCCCTCCAACCTAAAACAGCAACCTCCACCTCTCCCAGTATTCCCTGGCTCCCTTCCCCTGCTTTAAGTTTTTCATAGCAATCACCAAAGTCACAAATTGCTGCTGAAGACCAGCTCCAGTCGAGTTGTGGGTACCCGAAAAAGGGAGAGAGAGGGTTGGCGAAAATAACAAACGCAGACGGAGACCTCAATGCATCAATATCCACGTTCTCTCTCTGTGGGCTGTCAGCATGTTGCAGCTGGAGCACAGTAGAGCATGAGACAATGNCTATTTTTATTGTATCGGCAAGCTTAAATCAATAGTCCAAAAAGCAGGGAGGAAACTTTTTTAGAGGTCAGCACATCTTAGGTGATCAACTTGTGCTTCTTTTTCCTAGCATCAGGTTATCAGATCGGCCACCCCTTCATTGTCTTGAAGTTATCTTGTGACCTTTTTCTGTTAGCAAGCTGTGGTTAATATCCACCCTGTTAACAGGGTGGGAGCCAAATGTAAAAAGAACAGTGGGTATTTGAGCAGCATTATCATGCACATTTTAAGGTTATGCATTGGCTGTGGCTCTGTAATCTTGATCTGAATGTCAAAGTGTCATTGTGCACAGCACCATCCCTCACAAAACTAGGTGTACTCTCTTATTCTTCTAAGATCTAATTTTGCAGGTTTAATAATTTTGCAGCATATATTTTTATCCCAACACCTGATTCTA